CACTTTGGCAGCTCTCCTTATTGCTTGAAGTCAGCAGAAAAGTATGTCAATATAAATTGTGCTGCCTAACCTACCTATACGACAAGCCCTATCCTACCTCAGAAATAAAGCTGGCAAGCAATCCTGTCCTTACAGTTTTAATGTGGAACAATCTATTGGCAGGATTGCTGGATTCCCCCTGGTTTCAATGAGGGGGGGCAGTCTTTTCCTCTCAGTGGGTACAGGCAGTCCTCAACTTACAACAGTTTGTTTAGTGGCTATTCAAAATTACAATGGCACTGGAAAAAAAGTGACCTATGACCATTTTTACACTTACGACCGTTGCAGCATTCCTGTGATCATGTGATCAGAATTTGGACACTTGGCAACTGATTCATATGTATGATAGTTGTAGTGTCCCAGGGTCACGTGATCCCCTTTTGCAACCTTCTGACAAGCAAAGTCAATGGAGAAACCCAGATTCCCTTATCATGTTACTAACTTAGCAATTGCAGTGATTCACTTAACAACTGTGGCAAGAAAGGTTGTAAAATGGAGCAAAATTCACTGCCTCGCTTAGCAACAGAAATGTTGGGCTCAATTGTGATTGTAAGTCGAGGACTATCTGTATCCTCTGCTAGGAGGAAAAATGACTGCTTGTTCTTAACAAGGGGTGGAACAGGCTTACATGAGTACGAGTCTGCACCTGAGATGCAAGGTTTAGCATACTTTCAAGTTGCCTGAATGAGACGCCCGAGGTGTGGCGGCACTCTACCCCTGTGAGTTGTTGCACTGGCTATTTTTGGCCATAGGTCTAGTGTTCTTTTGAAAGAGCAAATAAATCTGTGCCCAGAAAAGTAGCCTGATAGTTGCTCTTTCCGTGTTGAAAAGTGGGAGAGCTCCTCACTTCCTTATTCCTCCTCCTTTATTAGAGAGCACAGTAGTAAGCCTCTTGAAGAAATCTATCAAAGGGAGTAAAGAGAAAGTTCCTGATGGCATTGTCTGCTCTCCTAAAGCTCAAGTAAGACATATGCCCAAAGAGAGAGATGTATGTGTGCATATCATCCACAGAGCAGGAAGAGGACCTTGGGAGGATTTAGATAAAAAAGAAGAGAGAAATAATAAATACATTTTAAAAAACCACTGAATAAGAAATGGGGGGGGGGGGAAATGGAGGTAATTTAAGAAGAAGGTTGTATGTTGTTAAGTAATAGGAGTTACCCTCATATGTGCAGAAACTGATCAAGAGACACGTGCATGAGTTACACATTCAGAAACTAGTATTCCAGCAAAGACTAGTGCTTGAATATTTTTTTTTTAAACACAGGTCTACTTCTCTTTCAAAAAAACAGAAAAACCCTATTAAAAAGAGCACGAATAACTGCCAACAAATACTTTGGAAAGTGTGAGTCAGGCAGTTGATTCTGTGGAAACAAAGTCTCTCGTCCCTACGTTCCAGGGCATAAGATCTGGATGCAACAGCCAAAAGTCACCAAACAGCATTCTACATTGTATTTCTGGCCAAAACGGAGTCAGGAGAAAAGGGAAAATACTATTTTTAAACTGGAATGGCTAAAGAGAAGCGTAAGCTCTATAATGGGCTGAAGGTGAGATGAAGGCAGAATCAAGAGGACACGTCCTTTATAAAACTAGTTGGAGGGGCAGTTCATGCAGCAATTAAGAGCACAATGATGAGTCCTCATCTTAGAAACTGTAGGAAGAGGCGCTTGTTAATATAGCTGAACTGTATTCCCCACCCCCACCCCAAAATCCTCTCAAGCTGCGTGGGCGGTGAAAGAATGCGCATTATATCTTTGTTGCCTCTGCAGATCCGAGCCCCAGTGAGAAGGAATGAAGGAACTGTGCTCTGGCAAAGCCAAATCCAATGCACCCAAATCTAGATAATCTAGCAACAAAACATCGATCTAGCAATATACAAATTTAAAGACTTTATCCATATCCATTGTTTTTGCCATTTAAAGGCAACAAACCAGATGACTTGATTTTTTTAAAAAAGAAAATGCACAGTTCAGGGAATTGGCAGCCCATCTCTTTGGATGGTGAAAGTGTTTAAACAAAATCAGTCTAAATCTCTCAGCAGTTTTGTATAACGTGCACATCGCCATCTTCAAAAACACACAGGACACACATTTAAAAATATGACATGTTTTTTGGGGTACAGTGGCAGTTCAGGATTCAGGGTATGTGCTCATTGACGGAGTTAGTAAATGGCAACTGTGGATGGAACTGCCTTTCTCCTCTTTAGCTACATTATGTTTTGCCAACTTTCTATTTGTTAAACCAAAGAAACATTATTTATATTATATTTAATTATTTTTATGTATGTATGTAAGTATGTGTGTATATGTATATTTATTATATTAAAAGATGAGGCAAGGAAAGCCAGCAAGCCTGGAGATTTACATTACAGATAGGAGAATTCAAAGAAATTTGTCCCCTTCCATGTCCATCTGTCAAAAGGGACTAATTCAAACACTGCCAAAGAGTGAGTGAAGGGTATATTTCTTGTTTCATGCTGCATCTTGTGTGTGGTTTTTTTAATCTACTCTCATGCATGAAGTAGTTATCTTAGTCAGTTCTAAATGCTGGGGGCTTAGCCAAAAATAACATCAGCATCTTCTCTGACTGGATAGAAAGGATCTTGCTTGGAAAGAAATGAAGATTCTAGTTTAACTTTTTCCTTGAGATATTGATTTTGATCAAGGAATTTTGGAACTGGAAGAATACTTAGATTTAGATTTTTTCACCTGCATTTTAAAATGCAATAATTTGAGACCAATTACATTTTCACCATAGGAAGCTGGAGTATAAATCAAATAAGTAAGTACTGCAAATAAGAACAGATTTTTAAATATAGGGTGTCATCCACTACATGATGAAGACGATCAGAATTAGATTTTTTTATTGAACTAAATGCAAAACAGCTTTAGTTCCTTTTTGAAAAATGTTATTAAATATATAAGCAATATTTCTGTTGTGCTAGAGTAGCATTGAGCATAAAAAACATGATTCCTACTTTCATTCAGCTATCTTCATTAATAGGTAGAGCAGAGAATACTACTGATTAATAAAGCATGAAGGTTGATAGATGGCAGAGGAAAAGCAAATACTGTTAATCTCAGCTGGCCGGAAATAACATGTTAACTAATGAGCAAGGAGAATGTTGGAGGAAAAAAAGGGAGGAAGCTTTTAAAATATATGGTTGCCAAGGTACAGGTATTCCCTTGATATTAGCATTCAGGTAGCTAACCTAAATGTAGGAAAATGCTTAATGCCTAAAATATACTTCCTTATTATGAATTGATAGCAACTATCATTCAGCTCTCTAATCCCTGGAGAATAGGCAATGGGCAGCTATTTCTTTATTCTAAACATTTGTTGTGCTGTATAATTTATTTGTATATTAAAATGGAATATGTGAAAGCAAAGGGGACTTCAAGTGGGACCTAGCATTGCTGGAATACAAATAAAAAATGTATTTTAACTCTAGGTATCAATCACATCTAATGAAAAATTAAATTATACATTACACATGTACCGTATTAGTATTCAATACAAATAAACCACACACACACACACACACAAACACACACACATACAATTTTATAGGAAAATACTATAATTGATTTCTTATGTCCCATCAAGTCATTGTCAACTCTTAACAATCACACAGATTAAACCTTCTCCAGGATGGTCAGTTTCCAGACTGGCTCTTCTCCTGTCTTCTACATCACTGCTGTAATCACAACCATGCAGCTTGCTGCTGGTCATCCTCTTTTTCTCTTTTCTTTCACCTTTAATCTTCTCAGGATTATAACTTCTCAAGAGAAATAAATCTTTGCATAATTAAGAACTCTTAAAACATGTTATAGTCCAGATTTTATATCCACCCACTTCTTAGTCTACCTCTGTTTTCTATTTGTGTATCTATTAATCCAACTACTATAATTGTTCCTTTTGTGGAAATTTAGCTAAATATATGATTGGATTTGTGGCTAAAATATTACTGCACAAATGAAATAAATTGTGTATTATCTGGTGTCCATTTCTACAATGTCTCCTTTTAAGTAGATGCTATCAAAAACCTTTTGGTCTAATAATGTATTTTATATTCCAAAGAAGGAAAAGAGAGAATGATGTATAAATTAGAACATAACAAATTATGTTATGGTACTATTTTGGCTATATAAACGTTCACATTCAGAGATTCCATTTCTTCTTAGTATCTTGAGAAATCTACCAAGTTCTTATCATCTAACAACAGCGGCAACAAAATTACTTTTCTCTCCAGGGACATCTTCTGAAAGAGGTGAACAGCATCTCACTGGCAGAAGCAGTGCTTTTTTTCTAAAAAAAAAAAAAAAAAAAAAAAAAAGGTGCCGGAACTCACACATGTCATACAACCCACCTTGCCTACTCTACAAGGTTCCATCCAAAAAAGGTGTCAGAACTCCGTTCTGAGCGTTATTTGAGAAAAAAAGCCCTGCGCAGAAGTGACCAGTCAATTGAAATCCTACCCCTCTTATCATGTGCTGCATGCATCCTAGTCATGTAAACGGCTGACGCTTTGATTACCCTGTCGTACTTATAATTTTAACACTAGTGATCTCCGTGAAGTTATTTCTGTTCTCTCCCCTGCTGAGATAAAAACACAGAATAACCAGGAACAGGTTTTTACATTAAAGGTGTGAAGTCATTGCAATTCTGGACTGAAAATGAATTTCTGGATTCGGTATACTTTTGTATTAACTTCATTTTTTTCCTCATCATAATCTTTTATAATGGCATACACTACATTTATTCATTTTGTTCACAAAATCAAAATAGATCCCACAAGTTAGAAATCTGCTTACCTCACTTATAATTATAAAAAAATTAAAAAAGTTAATTACTGCTACGACATAAGCCTAAGACTGAAAATCAGGCTTGTCAGATGCTATATCTTTTCTATCCTGCTCTATGGAGTAGAGAGTTGGTCTCTGACAGAAGGCCACCTGAAGAGACTAGAAGCATTTGAAATGTGGATTTACAGGTGGCTGTTACGTATGAGCTGGGTTGACAAGATCAGAAATGAGGAGGTGATAAGCTGCCTGGGAAAGCCAAGGGAAATCATCAAAACAATTAAAAAATGAAAATTAGAATATTTCGGACATGTGATGCGACACCCAGAAAAATACGGCATACTCCATTTAATCCTCCAGGGAAAGATTGAAGGCAAACGAGGTCCAGGCAGAAGAAGAACGTCATGGCTTCAAAATCTAAGGGACTGGTTTGGACAAAACTCAGCAGCACTTTTTCGTGTGGCTGCTGATAAAAACAGGATCGCCAACATGATCACCAACGTCTGATAACGGACATGGCACAACAACAAGAAGAATTACTGTTAGAATAAATTCTTATGAGCTAAACATTTCATGAATGCCAAGTGCTAGGCCCAGATATATTAGTAACATTATAAAGATCATATGACGTGGAGGACCACTCCGAGCAGGGATGCAACAGTTGATATGATTATGTGTGTGTGTATAATTTGCATACCACTTGCAATTCCTTCTTTCAATTTATTTGTGAATACTAGTAGCTGCACTTTGTACACTAATTGCATATCTTTTTCATCTGTTTTTTTTTCCAGGTCCGTCTGGTCATTGCAGAAAAAGGGTTACCTTGTGAAGAACGAGATGTGAGCATGCCCTTGACTGAGCACAAAGAACCTTGGTTTATGCGCCTCAATCTTGGGGAAGAGGTACCTGTCATCATCCATGCAGATAATATAATCAGTGACTACAATCAAATAATTGACTACATGGAGAAAAACTTCACAGGAGGTAAACTTTTAGATACTCTCCTCAACCCTCAAGCTGATGGATACAACTTCCATGACCTTGAATTAGCCCATCCATTGTTGGAGTATGATAAATATGATAGATAGAGGACAGTAGATGTGGAAAATTGTTCTAGAAATTCAACTTTCTTATAATCAAGCTCTTAAATCTTCCTACATCTGTATTGTTGTTGCCATTCCAAAACTGGATTATTTCTTTTTTGTTTGGTTTTCTATTTTTACAATTTCTATTGCCATTTATATTTTGGTAGAATTGCCTCTGGTCTGATTGAAATAGCTGATTTTGCTTAAATTGGATGATTTGTGCCTCATAGCTTTCCATTTTTCCTGCTATTGCTGTTATTTGATTCTTTATGATTTCCAAAGCTTCTTCAATTTTTTGGTGCCAAGTCAACATTTGTTAATTAGGTTTGTCTTGATCCTTACATTCTTCAATTTTTGCTCTTTCCTGTTCTTTAAATTACCTGCATCTGATCTTAATTTCTTTATTTTGGCATCCAGTCTGATCTTTCACTTTGGGATTGAATATGATTTTGATTTTTCAAATTTTGATGCCTGGTTTTCTGCAACCACCATTGCTGTACTATAGGCAAGCTGATTGATCTGTCTGATAGATGTTATTTTAACACTTCCAACCAGCTTATGTGCTAGGTCTTTCTTGGGCACTTTCAATGCTGGCAGTCTTTGTCTTTCTAGTGGTAATTCTGTATTTTCTATAATTTTCTATTTTTATTCTTCTTGTTGAGAGGTTGGAGGGGGAGGCCAATTCATAGGTTGTTTCAGTGTTGGCCTGCAGTGGTTCTGTGGTTTTCTACTTCTTCTAAATTATCACTTTTTATAGTTCATATCAGCTGTTTCTTTTATGTTTTCAATTGTTATTTGCATTGTTCTACTATTCTACTATGGTTTTGGGGTCTTCTATTTTCACAATTTTTCTGAATCTCTTCGAGTTTGGCATCCCTAAATATTTTGTTTTTGATAATGAATCTCCTTTGATTTTGTAATCATTGTTCAGTGGTATTTGAGTCTGGATAAATTTTTGTCCAATGTTCAAATGTTTGCTTTAATTATTTCCTGCTTTTAAGTATCACCACTTTTGAAGAAGGTTGTTGATCAGGTGATTGGTCTGCAGCTGATAGGAATCCTGGAGGAAATGGATTATCTAGATCAGGGGTGTCAAACTGCCAGCCCAAGGGCCAGTTGCATCATGCGGAGGCAGTGCCCACCCCAGCTCTGGCAATGCGAAAAAAGTCATGATACATCGTGATACCTCATGTGTCATAGCGAGTTTGATATCCGTGATCTAGATCCATTTCAATCCGTTTCCAAGCTGGGATTTGGTATTGAGACCTCTTTAGTTGCACTTGTTTATGACCTGTGGCAAAGTGATGGTGATTCCATCCTTGTGTTAATTGATCTCTGGATCATTTTCAGTACTATTGACTATAGTATCCTTCTGAGCCAGCTCTGTGGGTTGGGAATTGAGAGCATTGAGGGTGTTCCTCTTTCTTCTCTAGGGCCAGCTCCAATCAGCATTGGTAGGGAGAGATCGTCCTCTAGGTCCCTTATTTGTCAGGTGCCATAGGATTCTATTCTCTCTCCTCTCCTTTTCAATATCTACATGAAACTGTTGGGTGAAGTAATCCACTGGTTTTGGCTTTGCTATCATCAGTATGCTTATGACAACAAATTATATCTTTCAACTTGGGCTGGCCAAGTGATACTATCATGGTTCTGATCCAGAATTTGGAGAAGTGTGCAGGTTTTGCTGGGAAGAAACCTTCCTAGACTTAATCCTACACTGAGTGGTTTAGGATCTCTGGACCACCCAGATTTGGGGGTATTCCAACTTTGACCTTAGATGGGCAATACTTCATCATTCAAGGGTGCTGTGCAATTTGAGATCCTCTGGACTCACAATGAGCAAGTGGCACTTGTGGCCAGGATGTTTTTTGCCCAACTTTATCTGGTGCACCAGTTGCACTCTTTTCTAGATCAGGGAAGAGAGTCACTCATGCCCTGGTAACCATGGCTCGACTACTGCAATTCATTCTACATGGGCTGCCCTTGAATATGACCCAGAAGCTTCAACTGGTCCACAGTGCAATAGTGCAGGCAGTGATGGGTATGTCTTCATATGCTCATGTAACATATCTACTTTGCAAGTTGCCAGTTTGCTTCTGAGTGTGATTCAAGGAAATGGTAGTCATCTATGAAGCCCTATATGCAGTGGTGGGATTCAAATATGTGAACAACCGGTTCTCTGTGTGGATACCACTTCCGGAAGTCCATTCTGGGCCTGGGCAACAAAAAATTAGCTATTGGTTCTGCCAAAGTGGTGTGAACCAGCTGAATCCCACCACTGCCTATATGGCATGAGCCTGGTTACTTGAGGAACTGCTTGTCTCCCATAGCATCTTGCTCAGTTACAATCAGAATTTAGTAAACTCCCCTCTAGGGTACAATTAGAACACATTAATGCACATTTTAAAGCAGTAACATATGCTGATCAACTCAAACAATAAATTTCAACAAGCACTTACATTACCATGGTTCAATATTATACCATCAGCAGAGTTGGAGGAAATTTTTTGTAAAATTCCATAAGCAGAAAGGCTTTGCCCTTGTAATGATGGTAATATTGAAACACTGTCATATTCTATTATGCTGGAATTTTGGGACATACTCAAGGTACTCCTCATGCCTCTTCTCATTCCATTTCTGGAATGGACTGAAGAATTTTTAATGCAATTTTTAGTAGCAGATAAGGACTCCCAAGGTAACTCCTACCATTGCAAAGTTTGTTTTTTCAGCTTGTAAAACTTGTATATTGCTGACGACAAAATGGTACGAGCATGATTGTAGATCTTTTTATTTTGTACGCTTTATTCTACTATGTATATTCTATCTTGTAGCTCTAATTTGTAGAATTTATTTTATTAGTTTCATTCAGTCTGAGTGGCTGACCTGTAATAAAGAATTTGATTTCATATTTATTTTAGATGAAAAGTCAGACTCCAGCTGAACAATTTAAACCGCACAGGACATTTTGGTAGCAAAAAAATGAAAAGAAAAGAAAGCTTCTAAACCATGCTGCATATTTATTTCCTGACTATTAAATGATATTAGTAAATAAAAGCCAAAACCTCTATAAAATAAGAACTAAATATTCAGAAGAATAATTTTCATTCTTCCACATTATTTTCTCTGGTTTCCAGAACTAACTTTAATTAAAAGATATATGAGTCCATCACCCGTAATGGGGCAATTTAGGTGAATTATTTTAAAAGGATAGTTTTAATGAGACCAGAGACATTTCCTACAATGAATTGATTCAGGAATGGCTCTTGGGAGATCTGGGATGAGAGCCAGGGAATAGGTTCTTATATTTGGACATGGGAACATGAGGACTGAAATATGAATTATATGTCCAGGTAGTGCATCATAGCTGTGTCTTCATGTAATGCTAATTCAGATTTAATAGCACATGCGTGAGCCAGGGGCCCTGGCTCAAACACATTTGTTCTCCCTCCTCCTAATTCAAATTAAGATCAGCAAAATGTAATGATTCTTTTCAGATGTACTGGTGCAAAGGCCATATTTGATATAAGACATATCCCATCTTATACTTGGAAGAATGCATACATTAAATTGAATTCTACTATTATCTATGCATTTCTCTAACTTATCAAATTAATTCTGAAATGTATTTCTGTCTTCTAAGCTGGTTTAATATGGTTAGAACCAGATATTGCCATCCGTTCAATAAATTCCTATAGTTAGGGATACTTTACAAATTAAATTCAGTCTCTTTCCAGTTTATCCTTCACTATAAACACAGGACCCAGCTACAGAGGACAGAACTGCCATTATTCAATGCCATGTCAAAGATAGCTGGTGCAGGAAGTTTGAAAAGAAAACAAAGGTCTTAGCTAAAGATAAAAATCACTTTATTTTAGTGCTACAAGAGAAATACCCTTGCATCTTTTGCTACCGATTGTCATTCAACTGCCCATATTTGGTTGCTGAGATTATGACTTACTACTAAATAACAATTTGGTGTTAATTTTGGTAAAATTCTGGGAAGCCCATGAAGTGCTGAGACCTCCAGAAATGCATCCTGATTAAGATATTCTGTCTGCAAGAGCTTGTAACTGGATAAGGAGATTTCAGGCATGTTCACTGCTTTATATCCTTGCCCATTCATATAAAGATGTTAACAGAATAACAGAGTTGGAAGGCCCCTTGAAAGTATTTTAGTACAATTCCCCCTGATCAAGCAGGAGACCCTATAACATTCCAGACAAGTGGCTGTCCAATCTCTTCTTAAAAACCTCCAGTGAGAGAGCACCCACAACTTTTAATACAAGCCATTCCACTGATTAATTGTTTCAACTGTCAGGAAATTTCTTTATTGGTTGTCCAATTTCTTCCTTATACTTGTTAATACTTCTTCACCCTGTCTGTTGTTGCCAAAATGCCCATTTCCTCCATATTTCAAATCCAAGATGCAAAATTACCCTTTAAATCTGAGTCTATAAATAGGCACACTGTAGAGCATTTATTTATAATAAGTAAGTTATTTACAATAAGTTAGCTTTGTAGAAAAAGAATCATCAGATAAAAGCATTGTATATACAATTAAAGTCTGTTTTAACCTGACTGTTTCTTATTTTGCAGAGCACGTGGTTCAACTAATTCCTGAGAATGGAAGCCTCCTTCATTCACGAGTAATGCAGTACAGAGAACTCCTAGATTCCTTGCCCATGGATGCCTACACTCATGGATGTATACTTCACCCAGAACTCACCATGGACTCCATGATTCCAAAGTATGCTACAGCTGAGATTCGCAGTAAGTGGTCAGTTATGGAGGGCCATGCTTGGTCCATTTAAAATATATAATTCCCCAATAGTACAAAATGTTTAGGGAACTCTACGCATAATAAATGGAAATGATAGAGTCACTAAAGAAAAAAAAGTCAGCAGAATTATCTTAAATGTGACTAATTCTTGATGTACCACTTTTAGTACTACTAAAAAAAAGGAGTAATCTTGTCATGCAAAGACAAGTCACAGTTCTGCTTGTAGGGACTTAGGGAAAGAGGTTCCATTCCAGCTCCTGAAACAATCTTTCAAAACTTGACATTTTCCAGATGTTTTTGAACGATGGATAGAAATTCTGAGTATCTAACATCTGTTGATATTATGTTGCCCTGAATATGTTGCCCTGAAATCTTTAGGAGCTTACAATGTAGATCATTTCAGTTCAGAACATTTTTTGCTGGTATCCTTTCTTCTTAGTAGAAGACTTAAAATTAATTGCAGTGTGTTGCTTTCTATAGAAAAGAACTCAAATTTGTGGTATCTTCACTTAAAAAGAAAACTATCATTCCTGCCAGTTGAACTCACACATATCAAACAATTGTCTCAACAAACACATTGGATTTTAACACACTGCAATAGATAAGATATTTGTAGTCTCACATGTAACCTGCATCATTGTATCTTTCCCACCGTCCCCCCACCTCAATTTAAATCCTACATCAGTCAAGCTAGTTTGTGGAGCTGATGAAGAGAGCTGCAGCATACCAAATGTGTCTTTTAGAACATTTGTTACTCAGAAAAAATGCTATCAGGCTTCTGATTTTTTGCTATCATGTACTAACGTGGTTGTTCTCATATAATATCTATTGTGACCCACTTCAGCTCAGCAGTGGGAAAACACTGATTGCCCAGTCACAAACTTCTCTGGTGAAATATTTTGTATTTCTCTTCAAAATTTGCATATATTTTTTTGTTTAAGATAGCTTGCTGCTTTTATTCCAAACTTCCTTCATTGTTTTTCCTCTCTCTGATGATGCCTTTCTTCTTCTTTTGTTGAGGCATAAATAACTATTTTTATCCAAGGATATAATATGTGCTAGTCGAATTAATGATAGCATTTAGTATAAGGCAATTTGATAAAGCATTATACAATAGATACAACTTCAACTGCAGGCCATGTCTGTTTTTAAAGATCAAATGCGCTGTGCTATGTCCAACTCTTCCCTTCCATTGGCTCTAATATAATGATTTGTAAGGGCTGGTCTGACTATCCAGTCAGTCAACGTTGTTGTCTATAACCCTGCCTGGTCTCACTCTTTCCTTGCTTCTGTCCCTTGTCCAAATTTCACATTATGCAAGCATCAAATAAGGCAAATGAATCTTTCTTAGGTCTGTCCCATAAGAGAAACTACCATAGTGGATGCAGCAATTTTTGATCTGACACTTAAACTATCACAAGGACAATGAATTACAGAACATATTTTTGCTTTAGATCAAGTAGGTTTTAGTCTACTTCCTTTGAAGTTCCATGATTGGTGAGAAGCGGGGTTCAACTTCAGAGAGGACAATTTGACATTTGACAAATTCTCAGTAACATGTAGCTCTGCTCTAAGCATTTCACTTAATGCACCTCAATACAAAAACCATTTTCTCCTTCTGTCACCATTGAACTATTTATTATGCATTTAATACATTCTCTGAAAATTTCAAATAGTACTAGAATTTTTTTTTTTAAAAAAATAATAATACAATGATAGTAATTTCCATGGTACGTTGGAAATCTGTGCAGATACACACAAAAAGTTCTTTTCCAACTACAATCAATGGAGCTTTGAAATTTTCAACTTGGCTGAAGTAGAAACTGGGTTGAGGAGGACGTTCTAGATTTCTATTGGGTATCAAAGTGCTCAAGGGCAGCCCTAATGTGTGTAGATTAGGTTACAGAGACAAGGATAAGTTGTGCTTCAAGTACAAGCTCTCCTAAAACATTGACAATGCCTATTATAACTTTTCCACAAGGACATTTCATGAAAAGCAGTCCTGCTGTGTGGACAATGACTTTGTGACAAGAATATCACAGGCAGTTGCAGTTTAATGACACAGGATACTTTATAATCAAGCAGCTCAATTTGCAAATGCAGAGATTTTAAAAAAAATCTCCCTAAACTTAACAGAATTATAATTTCAGGCTAGATTTTCCTTATCTTTAAACATATTCATTTACATGACTTTCTTCACCATTTTTGTTATGTTTGTGCTTGACTTCAAGTTTTCTTATGTTGGAAGTGCTTCTAAATTATTTGAGAGTGCCCTATGATCCCACAGAATATCTATATTCAGAGGCAATATAGTGCAGAATAATAAAAAGTGAAAGCAGCAATGGATATTATTACTGTCAAGCCTTCTTTTAGTGATTGGATAGGATAGATTATGGAAAGAGGAGAGGCATGATGCAACTTTAGAGAGAGAGGTTGAATTGTAATTGTGCTTATAATTGCTATGAGGAATATCAGAAGCCACATTTTTGTTTTTATATCTTTCTTTATATCTTTATATCTTGTTCTGTTTTTCTTTTTTTCTATTTTCTTTTATTTATTTATTAATAAATTTATTGCCCACTATTCGCTAATTTAAGTAAAAAAAAAAACTAAAGTAAATTTCTGACTATATTATGGGCTTATTCCTATTGAAACAGCAGTTTTTTCAAAACAAATGTTCCTTGGGTTCATTTATTTAGACTTCTTCCAGTCTGTAAAATTCTACCTTAATCAAAGGCTGCTGAGGAGAATAATAACCACTCTCACCTAACCTTGCTCCACAGACTTTGTTTTTAAGAGAACCAAACATTTTTCTCTCTTCAGAAGAGGAAGAGGCTGGGATACTTAGACTTTGAAGGTGACATAGAACCATCCTTCTATCAGGGTTATGAGATGAGGGGATGTGTATTGAAATGTTTTAAGTTCTTCAGGCTGCCAAGAAAAGTACAGTCTAAATCAGTGAGGGTGAACCTTTTGGGTTCGGCATGTCAAACATTCAGAAAATGTCTAAGTTGATTATGCTGGCATGTTAGCCTCCCCACCCCAAGCAAAAGAGTCTCTCTCTCTCTCTCTCTCTCTCTCTCTCTCTCTCTCTCTCTCTCTCTCTCACACACACACACACACACACACACACACACACACACACACACACAATCTGGACCACCCTGAACAGCAGCACTTGGTGGCAATTCTGAGGCAGGACCTGAAAGAGAGGCCCAAGCCTTGACTTCAGTCCTAGCGCCACTGCTACCACTCAAAAGGTCACCTAAGAAGAGGAGATGAACATCATAAAAAACTAATAAATTAATAAAATACATTTTTTAAAGTTCACCTCATGTTGTTCCCTTGCAGCACAGAGGCCCCCAGGAAAACCATTTACTTTCAGGCAGTGTTCTCTACCAAAGGCTGCTCCAGGCCTTTTCCTTGCCATATCATTTTAAATAATCACCAATAGCAACTAAATAAAAATCAAAGCATAATGTAACCCCAGGTTAATAATACTGCTGGCCAGACACTATCTAAAGTCAGAATTGTCTTCACTTCTCCAAAGATCAGTGAAGTTTAAAAGGCTGCCAAAACCAGTTGGGCAGAAAGAAGAAAAAGATAGATGGTCTGAGCATGACCTGTTTGTCTAAGATTTAAGTGATTAAATTCATTTCCAGTGCATTACTCTCATTTTTTTTCTTTACCTTTCCTTATGTTAGATATTTATCTTTTTCCTCCAGTCCAGCAACTAAATGTCTCCGTTAAACACAAATGTCTTCTTTGAACTAAATGGCTACTTTTTAAAATAAATACAACAGCCTCACTTTCAAATTCATTATTTTATTTGGTCATTTGAGATAGTCACATGTTTTTAGAATATGTGAATCTATTCCTAGTCATTTTATTGTCAATATCCATTCATTAAAAAAATTGTTGAGAACAACTGTGAAAGCCACACCACCTTAGGTTTCTCAGAAAATAGCCTTGGTTCTAATCCAGTCTGATAGATCAATAAAAATTGAAGAAAAGAGGAGCATATACTTAGCTCCAAAGCTACTGGGACATTGTTCTGCAAATAGTCTATTTCAGTCAGCATTAAGAGAGAATCACACAATAGAAGATATAAAGAACTTTTAATTAAAGCAATGAATTGCTACTCTAAATTGCAAAGGATGTCATAGTGTGAAACCATCTATTCAATCCTGACAAAGCATAAATTTCCTTCATTTGTAGGCATGGATATTTATACAATAGAACTTACAATTACTAAAATATTTGTGTGCATAATGTAAATTGAAAGAGGGAAAACCCTATTTAAACTATTGATTTGCTGTGGGTAAAATTGCAATCAGATATGCTACAGGAAATGTTCGGGAAAGTTTTCAAAAAATCTCTTTCCATCAGTAATCTGGGGCAGGAAATGAATAGAGGAATGTAATTTGAAATCCTAAATGTGAGGTGAATGAAGGTCATATTCTGATTGTATTTTGTTTGTTGCAGTGACACCTACTGCAAATGTAGCAACCAAATGTAAGACTATTATGCCTATTTAAATTCCTCCTTTTAATATTACGTGGATTCTTCAACAAAATATTGCAGTCCTCTTTGAGCCTTCTCTAGTCCATCCTCATCCCCAGTGTTCTGTTTCCCCCCTCCTCCAATAATTACTGAGCATTCTCAGTTTGTTCAATTCTCACTGAACTGTTTTTGACTCCCCTATTTCTTAGAATTTATTTAAAATTCTGCAAGCTTCAGGATCCATCTAAGTCTGTTGCTTCTTTTGGTTACAGAAAAATTCATAGAAAATGAGTTGGATACTTTCAAAATGGTCAAGTAATGTAAATGAGTACCTGTATAGAGGAACAAATCTAACTATGGTTTATATTACAATTGTATCAACATTTCTGCATGCAAACTGAATTTCCTTCTCAAAACTATATTCAAGTGTAACAGAAACCTCTTAAATTGATCATCTCAGTCTCAAGAGCCATGATGTATTACTTTTTTCATTTTACATTTTTTTTCATTGACAATAAAGTCTATTTCCAGGCCAAATAATGTCAGATATAGTGGAGGAGGACTAACTCTAAGGTCTTAAAACCAAACTATCTGATCATCAGGATTTCAACCATAGACCCTGAAACATCCAAATGTTCTCAAATTGTAGCCCCAAAGATTTCTTGAAAGTTAAGCTGCCATTTAGAAAAATAATATGCCCCCTTTCTTTTTATTGTGACTTTTTTGATCACAGATAATGTGAGGCTAGACGGGAAATTATGGCCTCATTTGTCCAGTAAAATCTTTCATAGAAAAAAAAGAAGAATAACCAGGCTGCTGTAGAAGCTTAATTACTTGAGCTATGCTAGATATAAAGAGAAACTAAGATGGATTTACTCGTAGCTCAAGCATTGCTTTTGCTGAGCCCATGATACTGTGATAATTAAAAGTAATTACCTAAGGGAGGTAAAATGTCAAGATGGGAAAAGAATGAACACAGATCATTATTGGTATAATGTATCCATTATTTCACCTAGATTGAAAAGAGTACTGCTAATGCATTTACTCAAAACTGGCCTTTTCCTTGAAGTACGAATTCTCATTTATGTGCTGATAAATTTGCCAATAAGATTTCAAATGCAGCCTCACTCATGATTTTATCTACCTTGTCTATCTACCTTAGATAGGTTGCCTCAACCTAGTGTCTGTAGAAGTGTCATGACCACAACCCCCAAGAACTGTAGAGTGACTTTTCTTATGTTATGGGAAACTATAACTGCTTTCTCTTTTACTTAAAGAAAACTAATCTAAAATATGATATAACATCAGCACCTTCTCCCACAAAGAATCAAGATTGAAAGGACTCAGAAATCACCAAATTATGATCTGCAACAAGGATGTACAACCTGAACACTTTGATGTAGTTCTCAAAGCCTTGTCAGTAATTTCCATCAAATTTTGTTCTCTAATGTAATAGAATAGAAAATCATTAATTACATGGGAATGATCACTTAACTATATTTAAGTTAATTTTAATAAAATGTTAATTAAAGGAAATATATTTGTTTTTTGGCCTTACCCCATTAATTTCCATTTTCTGTGTCCCACATTGTCTGGAAGACAGCATCTTAGCATCTGTAGGCCTCAGCCTATAATGGCTGTGTATTTCTATAATATTTTAGAACTTGAGATCCCCATTTTTAAAAAGCTGTTCTAACACCTGTATGCAAGAGATATATCCTCCCATTTGCTCTGTGTTTATCTTTCAAAAGTCCAGCTACAGAACATGGACCAAAAGTAATACCTTGGACCTTAAAGGAAACCTACTTTACTCCCCGATCCTTCATTCATCTTATTGTTATAATTTCTTTAGCGCAGCTAATAAAACAAATATAACAGTTTTGTAAGAGAATGAAGCTTCTACTATAAGCATGCAAACCAATTTTATTTTCTTCTTTTTAGGACATTTAGTTAATGCCAGCTCAGATCTGATGAAGTTGGATCATGATGATGATGATGCACAGCTAACGGAACCATACCTTTCCAAACAGAAAAAACTTATGGTGAGATAAGCACAAGGAGGGTTTTATTATTAGATGTGGAAACCTATAGAAGTTTTTATGGATATAGATATTGACTTCAGTCTAAATTCCACTGACTATTGGGCATTTTCCACAAACTTCCCACTCTCACCCCAGATAGAGATTCCAAAGAGAAGGGCCAATTGATGGTGCTCCAAGACTGTGAAAAAGACAGTCGAACTTGGGGTAAACAATGAATTGATGCAATTACTATTATAAATAATTTGTATGTGGCTCTCACTGCTTTTCTTGTATTAATAATATATAATCAAATTAATTAATGTAGCTGACCTTACCTATTCATGCTTTAGCATGACCCCCTTTTCTTTTATCTTTTAACTTTCAGATCTCTACCCCTTAATAGAAATAATGTTCCCACCTTGACTGATCTAAAAAAGAACTAAGATAAATACAGGCAGTCCTCAACCTATGACCACAATTGAGCCCAACATTTCTGTTGTTAAGTGAGACAATTGTTAAGTGAGTTTTGCCCCATTTTACGACCTTTGTTGCCACAGCTATTAAGTGAATCACTGCAGTTTTAAGTTAATAACACAGTTGTTAAAAGTGAATCTGGCTTCTTCATTGATTTTGCTTTTCAGAAGGTTGCAAAAGGTGATCACATGATCCCGTGACACTGCAACTGTCATAAACAGAGTCAGTTGCCAAGCATCTGAGTTTTGATCACATACCATGGAGATGCTGCAATAGGCGTAAGTGTGAAAAATGGCCACATAAGTCACTTTTTGCAGTGCCATTGCAACTCTGAATGGTCACTAAATGAACTATTGTAAGTTGAGGACTACCTGTAAAAGGGGATAGTGGTTGAATGCCAAGGTGGCAATGACTTCTGCATCCTTAAGAATTGTCTTGAAAAGGGAAAGTGATAGAAAGAATGGAAGAAGTGGCTATGTTGAAATTGCTATAGGAGTGTTGTTCTTTCTTTATATTCTTTCTGCATAATAGTCTATATAATCATCCTATGCTGAAAAACATTGAGAACAATAATAATTTTTAAAAATCCGTGCAATCATACATGGAGGAAAATGTTTTAGAAATACTCTCTGCATTTCAGCGCAGTAGCTTGTTGGAAGAAATATGACATCGTCAGGGTTAAAAGGCAAGTAAAAGGGGGGGAGACTTATATACCATTATCAAACGTTAACAGGACGTTTGATAACGGTATATAAGTCTCCCCCCCTTTTACTTGCCTTTTAACCCTGACGATGTCATATGTATTTTGACGAAAGCTAGGTTGATTAATTAAACTCTGTTTAAGTATTCTCTTGGTGATCATTATTTTAACGAATGGATATTCCCAAGAGTCGTATTTTTGCAGGCTCAAGTCGCAACTGCGAAATATTTTTATATCCAAATTTCTTTTTTCTGACAAAGAGTAAAGAATTAAATTGGGAGACTAAGATGGACCATTTCTGGCTTTTTTGCCTTCATCAGTTAGCCATACACTTTATGGGATTTAAAGTATACGAAATTACTTTAAAAATGTGATCCCCGGGTATATCCATGTTCAAAGTCAGTCAATAGACGTGAGCACCAGGGAATAAATAATTTAATAATAATAATTTAAAGATAAAAGTACATTCTAGTATAACCGGCCCAGTGACGAGATCGAAGAGTCGTGCACACGCCCTAATTAAACCTATAAAGGGACTTTCCCATTGACCAGCATTCTAAGCCCTGAAGATGTCAGCGGATGCCGACGAAAGCTAGGCACTTTTATTGATTTCTATGTATTTTAAAGGTTTTTAATATTCTTAAGAACTTTTATCTTTA